CATAAGTCATGTGCCCCAGTCCCTCAATCATTTTCCTTGCCCTCGGGCAGAACTGCCTCCAATTTGTCCACATCCCTGCACAGAATCACAGAACCATAGAGCTGGAAGAGACCTCAGAAGGTGATCAAGTCCAGCCCCCTGCCCTAGGCAGGACCAATCCCAATTAAATCAACCCAGCCAGAGCTTTGTCAAGCCAAGACTTAAACACCTCTAGGGATGGAGACTCCACTACTTCCCTAGGGAACCCATTCCAGTGCTTCATCACTCTCCTAGTGAATAGTTTTTCCTAATAACCAACCTGGACCTCTCACACCACAACTTGAGACCACTGCTCCTTGTTCTGCCATCTGTCACTACTGGGAACAGACTTTCTTCATCCTCTTTGGAACCTCCCTTCAGGAAGTTGAAGGCTGCTATCAAATCCCCCCTCACTCTTCGCTTCTGCAGACTAAACAGACACAACTCCCTCAGCCTCTCCTCATAGGTCATGTGCTCCAGCCCCCTAATCATTTTGGTTGCCCTCACTGGATCCTCTCCAATGTGTCCACATCCTTTTTGTAGTGGGGGGCCCAGAAAACTAGACACAATACTCCAGATGTGGCCTCACCAGAGCTGAATAAAAGGGGAATAATCACTTCTCTGGATCTGCTGGCAATGCTCCTCTTAAAGCAACCTAATATGCCATTAGCCTTCCTGGCTACAAGGGCACACTGTTAACTCATGTCCAGCTTCTCATCCACTGTAACCCCCAGGTCCTTTTCTGCAGAACTATTACTTAGCTGGTCGGTCCCCAGCCTGTAACAATGCTTGGGATTCTTCCGTCCCAAGTGCAGGACTCTGCACTTGTCCTTGTTGAACCTCATCAGATTTCTTGCGGCCCGATCCTCCAATTTGTCTAAGTCACTCTGGACCCTATCTCTGCCCTCGAGCGTATCTACCTCTCCCCCTAACTTAGTGTCATCCGCAAACTTGCTGAGGGTGCAATCCATCCCCTCATCCAGGTCATTAATAAAGATATTGAACAAAACCAGTCCTAGAACCGAACCGAACCTTGGGGCACTCCATTAGAAAGCGACCACCATCCTGACCTCGAGCCATTGATCACTACCCTCTGGGCCTGGCCTTCTAGCCAGCTTTCTATCCATCTTACCATCCATTTATCCAATCCACATTCCCTTAACTTGCTGGCAAGAATATTGTGGGAGACTGTATCAAAAGCCTTGCTAAAGTCAAGGTATATCACATCCACTGACACGTCCACAGAGCCAGTTACCTCATCATAGAAGGTAATCAGATTGGTCAGGCACGACTTGCCCTTTGTGAATCCATGCTGACTATTCCTAATCACTTTCCTCTCTTCCAAGTGCCTCAAAATGGATTCCTTAAGGATCCCTTCCATGATTTTTCCAGGAACCGAGGTAAGACTGACCGGCCTATAGTTCCCTGGATCATCCTTCCTTCCCTTTTTTGAAGATGGGCACTACATCTGCCTTTTTCCAATCATCCGGGATCTCTCCCGATCTCCACAACTTTTCAAATATAATGGCCAAAGGCTCCTCAATGACATTTGCCAACTCCCTCAGTACCCTCGGATGCATTAAGTCCGGACCCATGGATTTGTGTACGTTTAACTTTTCTAAATAGTTCCTAACCTGTTCTTTACCCACCATGGGTTGTCCATCTTCATCCCATCTTGCAGCACTTAGCGCCCAAGTCCAGGAGCCAACCTTTGTCCGTGAAGACAGAGGCAAAGAAAGCATTGAGTACTTCAGCTTTCCCCACATCATCTGTCACTAGGTTACCTCCTTCATCCATTAGGGATATTTTCTAAATAGTTCCTATCCTGTTCTTTATCCACCAAGGGCTGTCCATCTTCATCCCATCTTGGGTTGCTTAGCGTATTAGTCCAGGAGCCGACCTTGTCCGTGAATACAGAGGTGTTGCAGCAACACAATTACTAAAATAACCAATATCTAATATCCGTAAGGGTATGTCTACACTTGCCCCCTAGTTCGGAAAAGGGAGGCAAATGAAGCATACCAAAGTTGCTAATCCCATACTTGATTAGCATATTCACGGCCGGTCGCCATTTTAAAATGCCGGTTGCCCGATTTAACTTGCCACGTGTAGACGCAGTGGTCCGATTTAAAACCCTTCCCTTGAATTAACCATTACTTTTCATTGCACGAGGACAATATATGTGGAATGTATAGGATGACTATTCAAACATTAACATTTTACTGATTCTTTAAATTTTATTTCAATTTTGCAAAACTGTCAAGAAAAATTTACCAGCCCTGACATAAAATCTGCTGGCCCAGCCTTTGCCATGCTGGGTTGTTAAAGTCAGGTACTAAAGTTACTTATAACTGTATGACTTGTCTTTTAACTGATATTGGGAAGGGTTTACTTTTTTTTAAAACTGCTACTCTGATGAGTAATACTATCACTTTTCATAACAAACATTAACCCTGGGATCACTTACCACCCCTCTTGCCACATATCTGACTCCCCATCTTTAACTTCAGTTCTCAGTCTCTCCCCGGGAATACTAAAGCACTGAGAGCAGGGTGGCAACTCACAATATGCAACAGACAGCTCTCTGACTGCTGCTGCTGCAAAGCACTTATAAAGAAAAGAAGGCACAGCAAGAAATGAAGACTAAATGACCCTTGCTGTCAAGATGTCAGGATGCAGGATATAACCTGTATGGTGGGATATTTTGGGATGGGAAAGAACCCTGTCACACACCATCTATACAAAATAATTAATGTAAACTTTAAGCAAACATGATGGTTATTCCACATTTGAATAATGCTGATGGAAACAAAAAATAATGAACTGTCTGGAATTACTTCTTTTTTCCATTCTTGCAAAATATTTTAGTATGAGTAATCACGTAAGTAATCAATAATGTGTAACACATCTTTTGTACTAGCAATCAGTAGTTTGTAATAGATTACATTTTCAAAGAATGTTACATAATTAATCCAAGCGGGGAAATCCAGTGCTAATGAGAGGGTGATTTCATTCCGTTCCTTATTTTTAAATGGTAAACTTAGGTCTCAACAATGCTCTCACTGTGAACAACGGTAGCTCAATTCATTAGTTCCCTCCCTCACTGTGTACAAATAACAAACAAATATAATATAAGCTATAATGGATGTTTTCATCACCTATATAAACGTCTAATCTTTTTAGAGTCATACAGAGCTCTCAATCTCAATGTACTCTTGCGTCAGTTTTCCACTCACACGAGTGTGATACAGGAGAGTATTTCTTTGATTAGTTTTAAATTTCCCATCTTTCAGTTTTATTGCATGTTCCCATGTCACTTTATCCATTCTTGTGATATGGGAAAAGTTACAAAATATTAACTAGATTTCTCAGAATAGTCAACCAGAGGAAATACAGTTCTTCAGTCTGAACATCCCCAAAAATCTTTCCCATGTAAAGATAATTAAATGTGTTCCTCCCAAAAATATCCCCATGTTTTCTAGTACATTTGATAACTTCAGTATAAGTAGCCACAGGCTACCATCAAAAGGAAGTAATGTTTTCTTGTTTTGTTTGCATCATGCTTGACTGAATTCTAAATATAACATTATCATTAATTTTTTGTTTGTAACCACTTTAATAATCACACTGGTTCATTTACTTCAAAGTTAGAGGTAGGACATTATATCAAATATGCTGACTATTAGCCTGCATTCACATTTACTCTTCCAGAACTGACAATAACATTCCATCTAAGTCATTTAAAAGACAAAATATGCACTAACATCTAAAATAGCTTTAAGAACTTAAGAAATTTTCTATCAAGAAGAGCATGCACAGTGATAAAACCTCCGAGGAATTTGAAACTGTAAATATAAACAGTTAAAATTAAAATGTCTTGTTTTGTGACACTATTTAAAAAACAGCAAATAGTCCTATAGCACCTTAGAGACTAACAAAAAATGGTATCATGCGTGGGCAAAACCCACTTCTTCAGATGAGTGGAGTTAAGCAGTCCAGAGTACAAACAATTGGCAGAGAAAGAGAGGGGGTGGAGAGGTAAAGAGAAAGGGGGGAAATGGGGAAAAAAATAATGTCAATTAGAATGTCCATGCTAAATGAGGCTAATAGAGTGGGCTCTAAGTAAGTGCTGAAGCTTCTCTCTCCAGCTGGCTTTTGAAATTGCTTTGACACTTTTAGAACTTCACTTTTTTAAGAATAGTGGTAAAAGTGTAGCCGTGTTAGTCTGGTGCAGCTGAAACAAAACACAGGACTGTGTAGCACTTTAAAGTCTTTAAAGTGCTACACAGTCCTGGTTTTTGTTTCACTTTTTTAAGTTATTTAAAATCAGTTATTCATCCTGAAATGTTAATTATCAGAACTTTGGTTTTAGGATGCAGTAAATGGGATTTTAAAACATATTTCACTCCAAATATACTTCTTAAATACAGACAAAGTTAAGTTAAATTAAATTCAATCAAATCAAAGGTGACAATACTGTTTCCTGCGATAACTGTTCACAATATACTAGGGAACTTCTCTAAGCTTTCCAGGATACCAGAAAAAATTAAAGAGCATACAGTTTACAGTAATTGTTTTACAAATGATAGAAATGTAGCCGTGTTAGTCTGGTGTAGCTGACTAGTCCTGTATTTTGTTTTACAAGTGGCATCTTAAATAGTAATTTTTCATTTTCTACAAATGGTTTGAAATAATATGTTTCATTGTACAAATTCTGAAGCAAATATTTATTAACCATTATTTTAAACTAAAATATTCCAAACTTCAAATGTACCTATCTACTTGTTTTATTACTGTAGTCTGTATAACCCCAGTGAGGCTAATGCACAAGATATTTTACCATCAGTAAAAATGATCACCACTTCTAGAAACACATCATAAATGAAAGGCACATTTCTTTCTATCCATAAGCATAACCACAACTGACTTTTTTTAAAACTGACATTTTCCAATAATTCATCATATTTTACAAATATACTTACTGGTTGTTCTGGTAAGTCTTGTGCCTCTTCCATGAGTATTAATATTTTTAATATGCTTAAATGATTAGAATGTGTGTCTTCATCTGCAGTCTTCAAAGCCTGTTAAAAAAGGTGTTCATAGCTTTATATACTTTGTGGGGTGCTTATCATTTAGGCTATCAGAGAATATTCATTTCTATATTTTCTGCTCTCAAGCTTTCTAAAATCATGTTGCCATCTCTAAAATAAGAGACCAAACTCACATATGGAGATTTTGTAAAACAAAGATTTACCTTTAAGCCCCAAAGACATAAACAGTGGGGGACTTTTTTAACGCACGTGGCGCAACTCCACTGCATTTCACTTGCAACATACTCACTCCAGAAGCCAATGTATTAAACATTTCAATCATACACGTGCACTGTGGTTGTACAAACACTTTAGGATTACCAGAGTTAATTTAAGTGATCAACTCCAGGCTACTATGTCAGTAAACAGAACGATACAATCTAACCTGTTTTAATTTAGAACATTTACATAACTGTCACACTAAAAATCAGGACAAGACGCACAACTAAATGTTTCTACAAGCAAGACTGATTAACAGCAATTATTGTTTAAATTGCATACTTAAGAATGTGTAGTCTCACCTTTTATTCTGAAAAAGTTAATTTCAAATAAAGTAAAGGTTTAATACTAAATGTTATCTGTCTTAAGCACTGACTGTAACAATTAAGAATCATGCCCACTGGACTTACCCACAGGAAAGTGAGAGTAGTGAAAGAGACGACTTTCATAATTGTTTTATTTTAATTCCTATAGTCTATTTAAAAAAAACTACTTCCCAGTGGCATTTAAAAAATCCATTAGATTTACACCGGTAAACAGTACCAACAGGACTCAGAATGTAAACAGAGGTTAAATAGTGATACCAAACTCTGAATATGAACCATTACAATTTAAAATTTAATTTCTCTTTGATCACCTCTATCTCCAAATCACTGACATAAAAACCATCAGCCAAACTCTGCTCACCACACTGAAATCAATGAATGTTTCATGAGCTGATTTACCTTCAATATGCATTTTGAGGGAACTGACAATTCTTCCACGATGTACAAAATAATTTTATACCCTTGCCTATAATTCAGTATTTCCCATAAAGAAACATGAAGTGCACAAAATAAGTACACAGCCATTTCATAGCTAGATTAAAGCAACCACAAAAAGCATGGAAAGAATACATAATAATTTAGGAATACATACACCCCTACCTTTTTAATTAGCTAAACTTCAAAGCAAAACACTTTCAAAACAGCCTATTTTCAAAAATAACTTACTCTTAAATGTCATTGACTTTCACTCAGATTAAGACCAAATGACAGATACTTCTGAAAAATGTACTGTGTGTGTGTACTACTCACAGCACAGCAGATGAAGGAATGTGTGGTAGTCTGAATTTGTAGTTTTTCAGTTTAAATGCATAGCATCACGTTACATATAAAAAGTTGATTTCTTAATTTCGTTTTTACAATTTACTCCTTTGTAATTTACTTTCAGTGAAGGAAATTGTGGATTTTAACAATTCCTGAAATATTTGCAAAAATGGAGTACATTTTCTGAAAGTTGTAAGCTGAAACAAAATGAAGATAACGCTATTAATCAGATTTTGATACAAATCCTATCTGACATTTTGACCTAGTGCTTCCATAAAATATTTTTATTTGGATTGGTTTTCCTCAGAAAGCAAGAGTTAAAACTCTCTTTGCTTTCTTACCTACATTTTTTAATTTTTTTTTTTCAAATAAACTGAAGGGCAAATTTGTTCTCACAATATTGGAATTTGGACAATATAAGCCAAACTCACATGTAATTTATAAATAGGGTTTAAATTATGTATTTATTTAAAATGTTTTTACCCCGCCTCCCTATTTAAAATATTCAAGGTGGCTTACAAAATTTTTAAAACAGTACAAATGTATATAAAAAATTAAAATATGAGACCCCAGAGGGACATAAAACCTACTAAAAAGTCTCAAGAGGAGGAACACACACAGACTCAAACACCAATTCAAGCATGGGTTAAAAAAAAAAAAAAACCAGAAGATTCTTCTTTGCAAACTAATCGGACATCTTGCAACCCCTGGATGAAGACTTCTCCAAATCAAATCATTTACTGCACCAAAATAAAAATGGAGAAATTTCTTGTCCAGGTGGCAAATGAACTTAAGCCAACACTTTCCTAGAGGAAAAGAGACTGTAAAATATTTGCTACAATGAATAGCCATTTATACTGAGGACATTCTATAAAGGCCAATCCAAATTGTAGCTAATATTACAGAGAAGCAGATAGAACACAACCAGCAGAAGAGAAATCATGTATCACAGGGGTTAATGGGATAATGGTAGTGCAGCTGGATAAAGGATTAGGAGTTCTCTAAGCAACATAGCTTTTTAGTTTAGAGTGTCTGTTTAATGTTTTATTCACACTTTGTCAGGGCACAAGATGGGTGGCATATGCCATATTATTTAGCAAACCTGCACCTTTGCTGACAAAGTTGGTAAAAAAAAGTTAGAAAAAATTAATTCTAAGTTTTTACTACTAATTTCAAAAGCAGATTTTTTAATTCATGAAAAATTAAGGTAGACATGCTTTGACAAATGTATCTACACAATTTCCACTGGACAACCTTTAAAAAAAAAAGTAGTCATATTTTACCAAAATCACCCTCAAGCATTCCTAGGTCCCCTACATAGTCTGAACTATTGTGCTGTTTCATATAGTCATTATACTTGAATCTTCAAAACTTCCAAATGATGGCTAACCTAATAAAAACATGAAGCCATAGTTCACTAGATTAGGAAATCAGAGTATTTTCAAGAGGAAAGTAACTGGTATCTGTGAATATAAACCAGTATTCAAAACATTAGTTCAAAAACCTACAGCAAGCCACTGAATAACAGGAGGCAATCTGAAGTTTCAAGCTCCTGAAGCAGTCTTGTGAAACTTCTTTTTAATTTGAAAAATAAAACTTTTGTCTTTTAATAAGACAGTTCAGTGTCTACCTTCTGAGCTATCTACAAGAAACAAGATTCCAGAAAAAATAAATAGCAATTTTTGTCAGCTATAAAACAGAATGATGAATATATACATCTAGGGACACTCTGAAATCTGAACAAAATTAATAAAGTTTTAGTGCTTTAAACCCAATCTGAAATTGTATTAATTAATTTAAGCTAATTTATTATCATTATGGGCAAGTAGCTTTTTGCTAGAGTCAGTATTATAAAATAAAAAGATTCCAAAAAGATAGATGCTTTATACGCCATTTGCTTTAGTTTGTTCAATTCACTGAAAAATCGTTTTCCTAAACTTCAAACTAAGAGACACAAAAAGCAGAAGCATGGACTATAACATTTCATATATCAATTTCTCAGGCTTCTGTTCCTATAGCAAAATTCTGACACTGTATCTCCATGTTAAACCTGCGTTAAAAGTGCTGACAGGTAAAAAGAGACCTGTTGCATTAAATCCTATTTTAAAAATCTTCACCAGGCAAGTCTGGAATGTTAAAACTCAGTGAGGATGAAGATAATTCCCTCAGCAACTCAGCCTGATATTAGCAGCAAATACCAATCGTCTTCTCCAGAATCATAGGCTTTGGCTTTGAGTCTTTAAAATGCCAGCTGGAACTTAGAGTGTCTCCCAAATTGCAAATGAATAAAGATACCACCAAATAATTTAAATATCAATGGAAAGCACTTTAGATACTTTTTTATTATTAAAAAACTGTGTCTGGTTTTTTCTCAAACTGTATTTGCCTGAATGTATGCTTTTCATATTCTACTCCCTTTTAAATAATGAAATTAAAGACAGACAGACAGATAGATAGAAGCTATAATGAACTATGATACACCTTGAGGTTTTAAAATGTATAATATTTTACACAATTCTTTCCATCCATTCTCCT